CCCCAAAACCCCAAAACCCCAAAACCCCAAAACCCCGATTTTTCTGAAAATTATTGAAAATAAAATAATGGAGAAATTGGTACTTAACAGTAGAGATTTGTCAGTTGAAGCAAAGTCTCTTAGAATCAAGAAGCAATTCAATTCTAAATAAGATGAACCTGTTCGGATTGCTTTCCTTGCCACAACTATCTGCGTTGCAAAAATAGTATGAGAGGAACTGCAGAATCAAAGCTGTTTGAGAAGATGTTGCAGGAATCCAACTCGTAAGCCTCCATGTGCAACCTCTTCTAGCCCTGAGCACCTACGGTCACATTACAAACGGTACATGAACGCACAGAAGAGGGTAAAAGAGTTTGAAAAGCCTCTATTTGACAACATTTTTGCTCAAGAGAAGAAACCCACTCAGTCGCATATGAATTGAGTCAATATAGTGAATAATGAAATAGACTTTCACAAGGTAAGGTTTATCAGTCAAGAATTAGAAATTTACGAAATCTAAAATTAATGGGATGAGAAAAAGCGTCCTTAGTATTAGAGGCACAGAGATTATGCCCAAAGCAGACAGAGCAATGAGGAAGTCAGGCTATAATGAAATTGTGAGACCAAGAAATATGGGTTTGGGAACTCATGACCAGAGTAGAGCTATTCCTGAGATTCAAACCAAAACACCAATTCCTTTGATGTGAGGTAAGTGGCTAAGAAGTTTAGAAATTTTGGTGACTCTAATACTCTAGATAATGAAAAATCAGATTCAGAAATTTCTGGGTATAAGCCAGACAACAAATTCGAGAAGATTGCCAAGCCTCCTGTGAGATTAAAATAAAATCTCAACCCAACATCAAACAAAATCATTAGAAAGAAAAATAAACATGGCTAAGACACCTGAAGTAGCCACAATGGATCATCTTGGAAAGCATTTCAAGTCAACCACACATAAAAATAAGAAGAAAAATTGTAAACTTTCTTGAAGAAGTTCGAAGCAAAAGGTGTGGATAAGCCCTAAATAAGCAAAGAGCAGTGAGCGAATATTGGAAGAACAAGAGTCTCAACAGAACAAAAGAGAGACTTGAAAAGGAGAATGAATACAGAGAAACTATCTACAAGAACTCAGTCTTGTTCCTCAAAAATCAATTCCAGGTTGAAGAAGCCCTTGGAGGAAAGGAGCACGAACTCTACCGTAAAAGTCTGTATGGGCTGTTTCAACTTGGCAAGAACTTCCAAGCTAAATATAAATGAACAGAGCAACAGTAAGGATATTAGTTAAATTTTAGACAGAGGCAGATTAGTCAGGATAAGCTGTATCTTAGCAGTGCCAAAAAGATGTCGTCTAAGCGAAACACAATTGACTTTAATTACCAGAAAGAAGAATAACTCCAAAGTTATAATTTATAGAAATTTGATAATTTTCAATATTTCTCTAAAAAATTGGGGTTTTGGGGTTTTGGGGTTTTGGGGTTTTGGGG